TTACCGAAATCTACTTGAAAGTTAAAGCGCTTTTGAAGTGCTTACCTTCAAGAGTTGTCAACTGAAATTAATCTCAATTTAATAATTTGATTATTAATTATTATGTTYTTTATTACCTTAAGTACTGTTTTTTAGGTTATTATTTTTGTTATTTTTTCTCAAGTGCACTTTACCTTATAAGAAAATATACTCTTATTTACTGTTAAATATCGCTTTTATAACAGAAAATTCAATTGACATTTATTTCACTTCCGATTTTCGATAGTCACAGCTTGGTAATGCTGGAGGAAGACTTTACAGCTCGTGAGCACAATATCATCATTGAGTTCCTCATTTCTCTTTGGTATGCCTTGCTCTCGAATACGGACATAATCTGCTATTTGGTCGTGTTTATTAATCAGGTAATGCACGCAAGCTAAATTCCCRGTCATCCGAAATGAAAAAAGAAAKAATAATGACAGTATTCTTCTGATCTTTGCCTATATAACTTTACTGTGYGYTTARCCTAAAAAACAAAACTCTACTACYCTTACKTACTCTCCTTTCTTCTGCTAACAGGTGGTTAATGCCAGCATCATTTCGCTACCGCTRCCTTTAATGGTATTCCTTTGGGGCACACTCTCATTGCCGCGTCCGACAAAAACATTCTGGGTCACACTCATCGCCTACACACAAGCGATTGTGCTCATCAAATGCATATTCCAGTACAAATTGATTTGGGCCAATTATATAAATCTACCGAACGAACCATTGGCTCCAGCAAAAATATTCGGCGTKGAATTGAACCCCAATTATGCAAGCTATGATTTGTTGCTGCTGTTGGTGTTGTTCTTCCACAGGTTGGTGTGACTTTGTAGACTCCTAAATACGTATATTTAACTAATTAATTTGCTCTCTTTAGATTCATCTTGAAATCGCACGGCCTCTGGAAGTCGGAATATAAATTCCCTCGTGGCGTCGCTAAAATAGACTCGTAAGTAATCTACATAATAAGAAATATTWTAAATATTATAGTAATTTAATTTTTCTAATATTTTATTTTAAGAGGTATGGCAATTTCATGGACTTTTTCAAAATTAAATCCAAATMCATTTCGCATGAATTGAAATTAACATTAATATTCTAATTTATATATATATATGTATATATATATATTGTATATATGCATGTGTATCCAGTGAGCGTTATAATTTCGCAAAACGACTATAAACTTATTCAAGCTGATAATGCCGTGCAACTGAGCAGAAGGTATTTTGTTTTCATACTAAAAACACTTTGGTGCCACAGCCACAGCRAACTCAACAGTAAACACTAGCTTTRATACGTAGGTTGTCTTTTATATTTAGTGATAGAGAAAAAAACAAATTTTATTCATTAAAAATCGATCTACTGTTTTTCAAAATATTCTCCATTAAGGGGTTACATGAGTTTCCTCGGGTAAAAAACAACTTTTTTCAAAAACTTTTTTCTGATATAAAAAATTAAATATTTCATAAAAAAATTTATTGTTACAAACATACACTATTAACAACGAAATTCTGAAATTTTTGGAAAAAATATGTTTAACTTGGCCATTGTGCCGCCATTTCTGGTTACCCCTCGGAAAAAAGAAGTGCCCACGTTTTCAGTATAACTCCTTACATTGTCATCTAAAGTGAAAAAATACGTGCTTTAGTTAAAATCTTAACTTAGAACTTAAAAAAAAAAAAAAAAACTGAAAATTAGATTTTTGACAGACATTTTTACAAAAGAAAGAAATTTTCGCGACAGTTTCTTTCAAATAGTTGTAAWAAAAAAAAAAAAACCTTCCACTTCCACTTGGAAATTTAGGACAATATTTCATATGTGTTTTTGCAAATTGATTTTTTTGAAATCTGTAAACTCTTGGTTGCATAAATTTATTTAAATCCGCGTCGAAAGTTGCAAAAAATAATCGCGATGTCATTTCATTTTTTGACTTAGAAAATATTTTAATTTACTGTAAACTACACAAATARCGCTCATACGTCAAACGTTCTGAGTATGCCTGCCACCAAAAATATCAAAATTTACGATAAAATTGTGAGTTTCCAGATTTTCATACTAGTGTTGCCAAACCTCGAAATATAAAAGGCAACCTACGTATAAATTATAATTTTTTGTAAGAGAATAGCAAAGTTTGACGAGTTTAGTAAAAGTGTTAACTATTTACTAAAAAGTATAAATTAAATACATATATACTAATAAACCTTCCTGTTAACTATTTAATAAAAAGTATAAATTAAATACATATATACTAATCAACCTTCAAAAAACCCAAAAAATATTTTAAAACTAGCCAGAGACACGAAGAAGTATATTTTTCTTAAAATCTCTTCTTTGACCACATTTATAGGTTTCTTTGGTTTCGCGAACTTTGATATAAAGACATGTTTCTCTTTCTAAGTTTAATTCCCAACTGTCAATAAGCCGGAACTAACATTACTAAAATCTATAAACCAATAGAATTTTAGAAAAAAAATATTTGTACAGCATTCTCAAAAAAATAATCAATTTTTACACATTAAACAACTGTTTATATAAATTTTTCAATATAATAATATTTTTCCCACTCTTTTTATATATTTTTCCAACTCCTTGCACACAACTATACTTACGTAGGCGAACGGAGCCCGAAAATGCGGATGAGTTACAGTCTACTGTTAGCCGAGTAAACACGATAGAGTATCTGGAAGGAGAAGCTGCCAGCAATAATACACCTGGTTCCGCCGATGGCGTCCGACGGCGTAGTAAAAAGGAAAGACGCAGCGAGAATAAGGAGGAAAATGGTGACAATGAAAAGAAAGAGAACGGCAATGACAATAGAAAAGAAGGTGGTGCCGATTCAGAGAATAACAAACAAATTGTCAAGGCGACTGCCACAGATGAAGTGGATGCTAGAAGCRACAGAAGCAGTGTTGTGAGCTCGAATACTTATCAGCGCCGACTGAAACACTTAAAGTGCGTAACAATAACAAATAATTCATGTTTTTTGAAATAAATAAATAATTTTTTTTTTTTCCTTTTAGACGCGCCAAGTACCTGTCATCTGTGCGGAAATTCTTCTCGAATTTACTCTCAAAATCGCGACTGCCAGCCGATGTGTATGCATTAATGTTCCTATGCGATTTTATCAATTTCTTCGTACTGCTCTTTGGATTTACAGCWTTTGGCGTAAGTTATATTATATATGATTTCATTTTGTAGCGAATTCTGCGAAGTTGACAGCCCTTGGCCGGATAAATATCCGGGTCCGTTCCAGTTMCGTAGAGCCGACTRTCGTACATTTGACATAAATATGTGTTTATATACACTAGAGATCACCTARATAGTAACGATATAGACAAAACTGAGGCAACGCTAAAGCTTTGAATTATCTGGTAATCGTTGTACTATAAATTATATTTGTAACTTGAAGAGGGTATACTAAGCTCGTCACAATGGAGATTAATTTCTAGAATATCCAAATCAATTGTTTTACCTGCATCTTTCTGAGGGTCGCTCCAGAGCTCTCTAATTCAATGTAAAGTTTCGAGAGTCTGTCTGTAAGCCCAGACCCCGACAAACACTCACTTCGGCCACTTCGGTTTCCAATGCTAGGTAGTTAGCAGCTTCAGTGTCAGACTTTTAGGTTAGGAAACTCACATTCATGAATCCATAATTGATAACTTCGCTACTTTTCGCCAGCGGTTTCATAGATTCTGTTGTGAGTAAGAGCAGGATCTGTATTGTGATCCTTTTAGTCTCCAGATTTTGCTACGGGTCCTCGAAGGTCTTAAGGAATTTCCGACTCCTTCTTGGAATATTCGGATTAAAGGCCTAATGGGCTACATTATTTGGTCAGGCTGCAATGTTGTAGCCGTGATTCAGATTCTTCCCATGGACCTGGACAGGATGGTTTTTTTGTCCACCACTACCAGCCCTACTCCGGGGTATACTTTATAGCGGCTTTTTAAAGTTCGATCGATTCTTCTTCGTTTTCGCAAGCAATCATTTTATTTTGGCCGTTGTACCAGCCGATATTCGTGCATGACGGTGGGGTAACCGGATCATCGCTTAGTATCATCTCCAACACCAAAAAATTAGTTACACAGTCGTTTACGAAAACGGAATTTTAGGGTATTTTTATCACGTATTAGTATTTATCAGTATTTATCAAAATTATTTCCGGAATTTTTTCCGTCGCTAGAACAACAACCACTAGTGGTCGAAAAATTGTCCTTGTTTACTTAAATAACCTTACCTTCTATTCTTCTCGTCTCATAGTCTCAACAATCTGACAGCGCTGGCGGCGTACAAACCTATTTGGAGGAGAATAAAGTGCCGATACCCTTCCTAATCATGTTGTTGGTGCAATTCATGTTGATCGTCATCGATCGCGCTTTGTACTTGCGTAAAGCGCTCTTGCACAAAATCATATTCCATTTCCTCTCCGTCATTGGCATACACATTTGGATGTTCTTCATTGTGCCCGCGGTAACGGAACGMAGCTTCTACTCGCTGGCGCCACCGATTATTTTCTACATCATTAAATGCTTCTATATACTGTTATCATCATATCAAATCAAATGCGGTTATCCGAAACGTATYTTAGGCAACTTCCTAACCAAGAGTTTCTCACTAATCAACATGTTGTCCTTCAAAGTGTAAGTCTACACTCCTTCTATACGCTTACAAATCCACTACAAGCATATACAATTAATTACAGTTACATGGCGATACCGTTCTTATACGAGCTGCGCACAATACTCGACTGGGTCTGCACGGACAGCACAATGACGCTCTTCGATTGGCTGAAAATGGAGGACATATTCGCGGATATATATTTCATTAAGTGCAGTCGRCAAATGGAAACCGATTTCCCTGCTATACGCGCGACGAAGAAACCGATTTTAACMAAACTAATTATGGGTGGCCTATTCATAATCGCCATTGTGATTGCGCTCTGGGGTCCCTTGTGCATCTTTGCGCTCGGCAATGCAGTGGGTCAATCGAACACACCACTGCAGGTGAGCATATCCATACGTATYGGTTCGTATGCGCCGATCTATCAAACGAATACGCGCGATAATATTATTGCGTTCGACGAGGCTATGTATAGCGATATGAAAGGTGCCTATGATAAGGATCGTGCGGCGATAACATTCCTTAGCAGCTATGATGCAACTGATATTGCGGCCATTAAGCTGCCCGGTAATTCGCCATCGCTGTGGAATATCTCACCGCCGGATCGTATGCGTTTGCTGGAGGAGTTGAAGCAGAATGGCACAATTGTCGCTAGCTTTGCCTACTCGATTACACGCATACCGCCCGATAAGAGTTTGATGGGCACAGTTTCGGATGAGATTATCTTCCAGATGAACGAAACATTTGCTTGGCGTGAAGATCTAATCAATATGTTGGAGACAAATGGYACCTCGAAAGTGGTGCCGCTGCCCGATTTGGTGCCGAAGTTTGTGAAGGTAATTTGTTGTTGTACGAATGTGCATTGACAAGCAGTTTCTTTAAGTTTTGATAATTACAGATCTTAAATTCGGGTGATGTCAGCATCGTGCATCAACTAATGCCAGTTGGACAAAGTGAGTGCAAAATTCTTAAACATATAACTACCCAATTTAAAACTCTATTCATGGCAAATTACAGTTAGCTATTATAATCACATTTTCTTAATATATGTTTTTCAACTTTCGCTTTTTTTTCTTTCTCGAAATTGCAGCTTATCGCCCGCTGCTACTACGCATGCGCACAAGTTCTTCGGCGCGCATCTGGTGGGAGATCGCAGACTTTTGCGAAGATAAATTCCATGAGGATATATTGAAWAAATTACCTTTGGATAAATGCAATTCTGGCATTGTTATATATACTTTCAATGACAAGAAGTTCCCGTCTACATTCAGTTTCATAACGAAAGGCGGGTAAGTAAATAAAAAAACAGTAAAACTTTAACTTCGGTTGAACCGAAGCTACAATATCCTTCAGAAACAAAAAATGAATTTCCATACAAAAACTTGTTATTAAGTTTGAATAGCATTAAAAAGTTGTCCATACAAGGATTTATTTTTGATCGATTAGTCTGCGTGGCAGCTACATCCTATAGTGGTGCGAATTTGCAAATTTGCTCGAAGATTGTTGATTTGCCTTGAAGAATAATCCATGCCATACTTCGTCAAAATATTTTGTCAAATAACAAAGTTTTCCGTACAAGGACTCAATATCGATCGGTCAATTTGTATGGCAGCCATATACAATAGTGGTCTGATCTTAACAATTTGCTCAAATATTGTTTTGCTGCCTTGGAGAGTTATCCATTATCCATGTTAAATTTCGTGTAGACTACAAAGACTTGATCGATCGATCGGTCAGTTTTTTTGGCAGCTATATCCAATAGTGGTCCGATATCGGCGGTTCGCAGAGATGCCCAAAGCTTGAGAAATACATGTGAGAGACTGATTTGGGCCTTTGTCAACACTCACCTCGACACTACAGGCACTTCTTTGTCTCACTGGCACGGGAACATTTCATTTACACTGTGCCTGTGGATTCAAATTTTTCTACTTGACTGTTACTGTTATAAAGACATAAAAAAAKKACTCCCAACATGTGGTATTACTGTTGTTGTTGATACTTGAAATAATGTCTCTCCATTGTCATTCCTGTCCTACAAGACTGAACATGCGCAGCACCAACTACAAAATATTAGTATTGAACAAGGGTGGCCACTTCAAGTAGACTTGAACTCAAGCGTTCTTATACTCGTATCTTTGGGTTTAATTGAAATGAGATCAGTCTTTCGGTTGAGTTAAATGTGAAATCATACATTTAATTAAAGTTGAGTGACGTTGGGGATTATTATATAAGATAGTCGTTAGTAGATAGTTTTTTTATTTTTATTTATAATATCCTTTAATGAACCAAATACGTACTATTTTGGTCAACCACTTGTTGCCATTTTTCCGCTAGAGACATATGTAGAATCAATCGTTCGACCAGGCTGGAGCTGYTCATAGTGGAGGATAGCTTTCCAATCYCACCAAACACGCAGCATGACCTTTCGAGGCGTCAATYCTGGCTTTGCGACCATTTGTTGAGCTTCACCACGCTTGGACCATGATCTTTTTCGCACATTATTGTMGTATTTGATCCACTTTTTGTCTTCTGTTAGCATTCGCTTCARAAATAGTTCGATTCAATAGCGTTTCAGCCGTGTATGGTCGAATATACGCGCCTGCAGCGCAGCTTTAGGCTCTATAGACATAGAAAGCAAGCTGACTTTATTTATATATACATATATACA